GTTGGGAAAAGGCGGCAGGGACAGGGAGGGATCGTCTGCATTGAAGGAGAGGCCCAGGGCAGCGCTGGGCAGATAGGCACGCGGTTTTGGGCTCAGAGGCCTGACGCCATCTGACCTCTGCGTTCCCTGACCACCTGCCCCATCCCGACCCTCTAACTGCCCAGGACCTACAGCAGCAACAGGGCCTGGCACCGTGCTCTTCCGTCCCCCCGGATCTGACCGCCCTGAGCGGCAGGCTGCCCTGGGTCGGGATGGTTCCCTGCCCGTGGGTCCTGAACCTGGGGGATGGTGGAGTTAGGGCTCCCTCTGCCGGCCAGAGGCGTGGCGGCCATCAAGGTCATCACTTGCTGAGAGTGATCCCAGAGTGTGCCTTAGTGGGACTGGGGTTCCGAGAGCACAGGCAGGCCAGCAGCCCCTCTCCAGCCCGCCAAGCCCCACCTCCACCTCACCTGGCCTGGGCCCGCAGGGGCACTTGCTCTGCCTCCTGCCCCTCCCCATGGGAGGTTCCGATGGACCCCCCAGGGCCTGCTGAACGGTTCCCCCCCCCCCCATTGCTTGCTGCCTCCCCCTCAGGCAGGGATGAGAAGGGAGGCAAAAACCTCCGCCAGCAGCAGGCAGCACCCCAAAACAGGCGCCGGCCAGCCTGGGCCACGGGGCGGGCCTTCTGGGCACCACCTGGCCATACCCAAAAGGCCGATCGCAGGGCTGGCGTACCTTTGAGTTCAAGAGTGCCCGAGGCCTTGAGGACAGGGCTGGAGCTGGATCCACAACAGGGGCCAGAGCTCCTGCCCCTCCCAGACAGGCCAGCCCGGCCCGGCACCTAGTTCTCAACTTCTTTCCCTAGCAAGGTCGCTGGTGCCAAGTGTCCTGAGTGAACTCTGGCCCCGCCGCCTCTCCCCTCCCCAGGGCCCGTGCAGCAGGCCTGCTGTCCTTTCTCTCGTCGCATTCCAGTGCCCCTCGCCCCGCCTCATGCGTGGATCTGCAGGGGAGGGGGAGCCCCCCTGTGCCTATGCCGTGTAAACATTAACCCCAACAAGCTGACTGGCACACCCGGGCACCTCAGGAGAAGGGAGAGTTGATGGAGAACTGGGCCTGGGAATAAAAGGGAGGATGAGGGCCTAGACGGGAACTTTTCTCATCAGAGTTTGGACACCATGTCCCCTCGCCTCCAATCACCAGACCCTCTGCCTCCTAGAGCCCAGAGCCTCGGCCCCCAGCACGCTGCCATCAGGCCAGCCTTGCTCCCCACCCTGGCCTCACAGTGGCATCTGCTCACCCCCCTTCTCAGAGCCCCTCACGACCTCCTCCTTGCCAAAGCAGAAAGACCAAGCTCTGCAAAATGTGACCCAGCCACTTCCTGCCGCTGCTCTGGGCAACCTTCTGGCCGCACCCCGACCTGCACTGTCCCCTGAAGAGGCCTTCCTTCTGCAGCTGCTATCTCAGTATTTCCCTCGTGCCTGACTGCTCTGCTGGCCGCAGTCCTGCTTGTTCTTAAAGATCACGCCAACCTCGGCCCCTGCCGGCCGCCCCACCCAGGCTGGCTCCCACCCAAGAGCCCCGTGTCTGCGCGGGCCGTGGAGAACACCCCCCAAGAGGCGCTGATGGTCCCCTTCCAGGACAGGCTCTTGGTTCCAGGGCTCGCTGGCAGTGACCACAGGCAGACTGGCGTGCTTGCATTTGAGCTCGCTCGCATGTGACCTGGGAACGATCTACCCCCCCCAAACACGAGGCTCCGTGCACTGCCCGGCACATTGCCAGAGCTCTACACACATGGGGGTCCTTATGGCCCCTCGCTCCTGCCTCCTCTTTCACTCTTTTGGGGTGACCAAATGCTGTGTTGCTATCCTAGGTGTGAGAGAGAGATTTCCAAAAGTCCTGGGAAAGAACTGCCCTTTTATGGGTTTATCCCCCCAATCAAATTTCAAGTGTCTTGAGGACTTGACGAGGGCTGATGCAGTGTCTTGTCTGTCTTTTTAATTCACTGAGGGGCTAGAACAGCACTGTATGTTGTCGGGAGCAGATAAATATGGGGGTTAACTGCTTGTCCTCTCCCTGCTCAACTCCCCCCCTAAGGATGGAGGGTAGAGGCTGGATTCTGGCTCCTTGTCCTGCCTCCACCTTGAGGGACAGCAGGCCACTGGGCCAGTGACACCTTCCTGGGCCTTCTGGTGGTTTATTCCCCTGGCAGGTCCTTACTCTGTGTGATGTACTGTGCTGGGTGCAGGGGGGGGGGGGCACGAACACAGACTTTTTCTGCACCCGAGGCCCTTGCTGCCGAGCAGGCCCACGGCAAATGTGAAGAAGCACAGCCTGCACCGGCTGCGGTGTGCACCATCAGACGAGGGTGTGCGGTGGGGGACCAGAGCCACAGAGACCGCCGCTTCCCTCAGGAGAGCAGAGAATCCACAGGGCAGGCAAGGTGGCGGGGGCCGGACAGGAAAGCCCTCCGGAGGAGGGCACACTGGGCAGGGCACCCTCATGAACAAAGAGGGACAGGCGTGCTTGCTGAAGGCTGCAAGTGGCGGCCCGGCAGCGCCCTGCTCTGAAAGGGCCCTCAGTCAGGCCTGTGCCAGAGCCTGGAAAACCACGCTGAGCTTCCCAGAAACCTCGGGACGCAGACAGAGCCCTGGTGTGTGGCAGGTAAGGTGAGCTGAACAAACGCATCCTGGAGTTGGGTGGGTGGTGACATCGGGAGGCAGAGAGGCCGTTTAAAAAGCTTTGCAGGGATTGAGACAGCCCAGTGAGGCCTTGCCACAGCGCTCCAGAGCTTGCAAGAAAAGGCGGTCATGGGCAAGGGGGTGAGAGCTGAGATGCTGGCTTGTGCGGAGAGACAGTGTGAAGAGCAGGTGAGAAGAGAAGGGCAGAAATCTTAGGGAGCCAGGCAGGGAGAGAACTGAGAGTGAAGAACGGACGGCCTGTGGCAGGTGGGGGTGGAGGGTGGAGGAAAGAGCTTCAGAAAGGGCTGGTCTCTGGCGGTGTCCAGGGCTGTGGGCTGAGGACACCAAGGGCTGAAGCAAGGCTTTTCGGCTTGGCGACGACTCCAAGGGAGAGGGCCGAACGGAATGACAAGTAGAAGCCAGCCTGCAAGGACCAAAAAGAGCGGGTTCCCTCTCTGACTGTCTGCTTTGGCTCCCCTCTGCCTTGCCTGGCTGTTTGGAGGACGGGACAGGAAAGGGGGATCGATAGGAAGGCTATTCTTAGCTAGCTGGCGCTCTTGGGAAACCTAATCCTAAACGGGCGCAGGATGTGAGTGAGGCTCACTGCCATTGCCGCCCTCACCTCTGTCACATCCCCCAACTCCCCACCCCCACGGACAGGTTCATCCTGCCCTAAGTCTTCCCCTGCTGTGTTCTCCCTCCCCCATCTGCACCCTTGCTCAGCCACTTTGCACACCCCAGAAGCAAGCAGAGTTCTGGAGCCCGCTGCGGGGCTGTCTGGGGCTCCTGGGACTCCCCCTGCCTACCACACATTCATATATTTACACCCCTCTGAGGTCCCCTGATTAGAGGGCCATTCTCCTGGCCACTGTTAGCATCTCTGGTCACCAGTTCAGAAGGAATGAGCTGAACGAACTTCCCAGAGCATGAAGAGGCACTAAATCATGGGGTGAGCCAGGGGCCCAAGGCCGCCAGCAGGTGGGAGACCCGCCGGGCTTGGTGGGCTTGGGGCTTGGTGGGCTTGGCGTGGGGCACGGGCGCTGTGACGTGACACAAGCCTCCCCGCTGCCTTCCCTCGCTGTTCCCCAGTTTGTCCCTCTTGGCCAGGTCTCACCTCAGAAAGCAAGAAAGGAAACAGTGAGGGCTTTCTGGAGCCGGCCCCCAGAGGCCTGTCTGCTGGGGAGGTCAGAGGGAGGGGCAGGGCCCAGAACGGCGGGGAAGAAAGCAGAGGCGGGACAAAGGCCCGTCCACCTTTGAAGCTGTTTCTAACCCAAGCGGGGAAGGTGGGGGCGGGCCTGAGAGCCGGGTGGGGGGAGGCAGTCTCCAGTTTTAAAGAATGTCTCAAATTCCTTCGGAAATCAGAGGGATTGTGAGCTGCCCCTCCCCAACACACTTCCTTCCCAGCCCCCCGAGTCCAGTCCTCCACACCTGGGGGCCCCAACCCTTTGTCCTCAGGTAATTGCTGGGCTTTGCCCCTGAGTTTAAAATCCCATTGATCTTGCCAGTTATCAGCTGCGGCTCCAGACCACCCTCCCTACACACCCCCCAGAAAATGACGCTCAACACACCCCCCACCCCGCAGTCCTCCCTGGGATTAAGGCTCTTTGTGACTGGGGGTGCGGGGGGCGGGGGGGGGGTGAGAAAAGCGACCTGGCGGAAACCAATTATGACAAGCCGGAGGGAGAAGGCCTGGGGCCTGGGACCTCCCTCTTGGCTGCGGCTGTCTAAAGGCCGGGGTGGGGGTGTCTGCTGGGGCGCGGCCCCCCCCAGGAAACAGGAGTGTGACCCCCTCCCCCTCCCCCAACACGGGCTTCCCACTTCTCCCACTGGGACCAAACCAGGCCCTTCTGCGACTCCCCATCCTGCCCTCATTTTTAGGCCATTCTTAGGAGAAGTGATGCCTTTCTCTTTTTTCTTCTCTTCCCATAACCCCCTTCCCTGCTGCATGCTCAGAAAGGAGGGAAACTGAGTCTGGGGGTCCACCCCCCGCAGGCAGGACTCAGGCAGAGTGTTTCCCCCAAACAGACTGGGGTTGGGGGAGCGACCCGCAGGGCAGGGCCTCCCCCTGGACGGGATTAGAAGCCAGAGTGAAGGGGCAAAGAGGCGGGTTTTATGGCCCCTGAGTCCCGTCCCTGAAATGCGCACCTCGGGGCAGCTGGGAAGGCCCACCAGAGCCGCTCAGGTTGGGCCGCGGCCGCGGCTGGGTCCCTTCCCCCAGGCGGGGCTCTGAGGGCTCCTCAGGTGCGCTGCCCCCCACCCCCACGCCCTGCAGCGGACCCGGGGGGACCGAGGGGGCACTTTCTCGTCCCCCCACCCTCTTCTGCTCTCCCCGACCCTCCTCACCGGAAAAAAGCGATCCTGCTCCCGGCCAGGCGGCTTCAGCTGCCGGAGCGCCAGGCCTGCTGCTCGGCTGGCCGCCCGCCCGGCCTGGCCCGGCCGGCCTGAGGGTGTGGGTTCTCCGCGCCCCACAGGTAGCACGGGACACGCCAGGAGAGTCAGGAAACCGGAGCCCTCGGAGGGAGGGAGGGAAGGAGGGGCGCCCTGGGCTCCCGCGGATGGACGCGCAGCCCGGGCCACCGGGCCACCGGGGCCGCCCGGGCCTGGTGCGGCCCCTCCAGGACGCCCCGCCCCTCCCTGCACCTGCAGGAGCCCAGGCCCGCGCTGCGCGTCCCCGCGCCTCTCCGAGAAGCCAGTTTGTCGCCAGTGGGTGTTAAGAGTCGGATCCCTCTACCCCTCGCCCCCTTCAAATGCCAGTTTGCAGGAAAACCGTTTTATTCCGGGGCTGGGAGCTGGGGGGTGGGGGTGCAGGCCTGGGGAGTGGAGTATGAAGAACGGTCAACTCTCTTTTTTTCCTCCCTTTTTCCTTCCTACAGTCTGGCTAGGAGGAGCCGGAGGCTGGCGCAGGCTGAGTGGGTCACCTCCCAACAGCGCCTGCCACACCTCGAACCCGCCAGCCTTGCTCCTCCGTTCGGTGTCTCTGGTCTCGGGGGGACACTACGGCTCCTCTCCTGGGGCCTGGCCCACCCCTGGGGGCCTGGTCCCCTTCGGGGTCCAGAAGGTAGCCCAGAGGGGTGGCCAGTCCTGCCCCTCTGCAGCCTGGGGCGCTGGCGCTTGTTGGTCCTCAGGACCCTCCTGGGGGTTCTGGCTCCCCTCCCTCCACCCTAGCCCCATCTTTGGATTAGGAAGGGAAGGGGAGGGGAGGGCTGGTGAGGGGCAGCTGCCCCGCCCCTGTGTTCCCGACTACGTCAGGGGCTGCGGCCTCCGAGTGCGCTTGGTCCGGCGAGTGGGGGCTGAGCCCACAAACTCGAACTGTTTCTGCCTCTCCACTTGGTTGGGAAAGGGCAGCTGGCCCTCGTAGAGGCGCTTGATGAAGTGAGCCTCGCGCTGGTTCTGGCGGCTGCGGGAGGCCTGGCGGGGCCGGCCCTGCCGCGTGAAGGCCATGAACCAGCCCTCGTGCCTGGCGTTCTGGAAAGCCGTGTAGTTATTTTCCAGCACAATCTCCGTGAACACACAGTCTTTGCTTTTCCCGCTGGGCTGTGGGGGAAGGAGGGAGAGGAGGGAAGTTGGTCCACCCACCCTGTTTGGCTTCTCTGCCTTAGGGGCCTATCTTAAGACTGAGGAGGGCAGGGAGCCCAAGGATTTCTGCCTGGAGGCGGCGCCCTTGCTGGAGAGGCAAAGGTGGGAGAAAGCAAGGGGCTTGGTTTGGAGTCACGTCTGAACTTCATACAGGTTTGCCATTTGGAAGTCGCACACCTTGATCAAGGTGTGTGAGGCTGAGCTTCACTTTCCCGAGATGTGGCACAAAGACCTAGGTAAGGGTGCGGCTCGTGCACCGCAGGCGGGCCCTCGTGCATGAGAAGGGTCTCAGTCTGGGGGTGGCGTGGCTGGGGGGGCAGGCTCAGTCTCTGATGAAGAGAAGAGGCAAATGTTTACAGACACCGACCGTGTCCAGGGCCACACGAGCACCCCTCTGACCCTGTGGGTGGCTCTGACTCTGTGCCCATCTTTGTAGATGGGCAGCCTGAGGCTTGACAAAAAAAGGCAAATATTGGGTGAGAGGTGCCAGAACTGGAAGCCAGGACTGACCAGGGCTGAGGGAAATGGAATTCTCCCTGCGTGACAGCCAGTGGGAGGTCACATGAGTCAGCAGTGACACTCGCAGGTGGCTGCACTAGCACCTGGTGACACTAGCAGGCAGCCGGTGTGTGCTTTGCTGGTTGGATCCCTCGGAGCCCACTGACCTCCGGGGAGCTCCTGATCTTGCACGAGTGCCCACTTTCAACCCTGGTAGGTGCCGGAATCCGTGCTTACGGATGCTGGGAACCACCCGGGGAGTCTGAGCCCCAGGCCTTGTGGGCCGTCAGTGCCCTCACAGTGCTGTGGACACAGAGGGACTCACTGAGATGGGAGTGCAGAGGTGACTGTGGTGGGTGAAAGCAGAAGAGTCGCGGTCCACAGGATGCAGGGAGCAGGATGAGGGCGGGCCCTGGGTGCTCCCCCCAGTGAGACCCCCGTCCAGCACCTGCTCTGTCCTCCGGGCCTCACCTTCCCGACGAGCTTGCCCCTCTTGTTCATGCAGATGTACTTCTCAGTCTCAGCCCCCTTGATGCGGACCCGGCTCCCAAAGGTGTCTGTCTCCACGATGAGCTTGGCTGTGATGGGCGAGGGAGAGGGGGACCTCTGTCCATGAAGGTTGCTTGCCCAGGGGGCTACAGGGGCCCCCCAACCAGCCTGACCTCCAAACTCAGCTGGAGCACATGGGAGGCCCCCACACCAGATCTGAGGATGAACCAGGTGAGGCTGGCCAGGGCTGTGGGTGGCCTCAGGTGAGGGCTGGGTCTCACCAAACTTGTTGCCGTCCTCAGCGGTGGCGGAGATACGACGCCCGGTGACCTGCACGTGCTTGCCGCTGGTCCGGCTATAGAGCTGGTACTCACGGATCTGCCGCCTGCTCAGCTGGTCGGTCATGGCGCCCTGGTCCCTCACGTACTGGTTAAAATTAGGAGACGGGTGATTCTCCCCCTTTGCGGTTACCAAGGGAAAAATAGTGTCAATTTGCTTTGGGCAATACCACTGCGGGTCCCTCCAGGGGAGAGGAGTGCAGAGGGGAGTGCGGTGGGCCCGCCACCTGTCCTGGGGAGGAGAGGTGCAAGGTGAAGGGGGCAGAGGCCCGTGACCTTCTCAGGCCAGTGGGTGAGCCAGCCATGACCTCCTGGCTCCCTCTCCCGCCTGCAGCAGAGAGCCAGCGGTTGCCCAGGCCTGGCGCACTTGGTGGAAGGGTGCACACTCGGAATCATGACTCCGGGAGCCGGCAGGAACCTTCAGAGTTGTGGTGGTGTCTGACCCCTGAATTTCGTGGAGGAGGTGCGCGGGTGGCACAGCTGGTTAGGGGAAGGACCCCTGTCCTGTCTCTGGCATTGGAGCTTGTCACCTCTCCAGAACTCTGAGGTCTTGGCTCTGTTGCCAGGACAACCAGATCTTCTCTCCATCCTCCCTGCCAGCCTCGAAGGACCCGACGCTCAGCACATGCGCACGCACACGTGTGCACACACAGCAGCTGATCTGTTAGGGTCGCTGGAGAGCATTACGAGGGCCCTGAGAGCCCTGCCTCTAGGCTTCTGCCGGACCCCTGGAGAGCACTTCTTTGTGGCAGGTGGAGTCCGGCTGCCCTGCCTCTCCCCGGGGTACTCAGGGCCCTCCGAGAAGCCAGACTCCCTGCCAGATCTCCTCCCTCCAGTGTGGGTGGGGTGCCTTCTTATGGGGGGGCAGTGAAGGCAGCTGCCAGAGGTGCTATAGGCCTGGGCCCAGGGTTGCTCCTTTGAGGCCACCTGCCTGTGCCACGACAAAACTGAGGCTGGTGGCCAGCGCTGCCACCACCCACCCACTTCCCCAGGAGGCTTGAAGGGCTCTGTGCATCCACATGACAGGGCAGGACAGAGGCAGGATAAGTTCTCGTCCAGGCCGGTCCCCCTCACCCATCAGCAGCACTGAGCCGGAGACAGGCCGAGCCTGGCCCCTCTCTCCAGCCAGGTGCAGCCTGGATGGCGGCTCCGGCACTAACATGTTCCTCTCCCCACCTGGCCCTTGTGGCCTGTGCTGAGACAGCCCTTCCCTGTCCCCAGTCCCTAAGCCCAACAACCATCTGGATGGAGCCAGACTTGGATCAGCATCTGTGAGGGCCACTCTTTCCTGGAGGGAGGGGGGCGAAGTGTCCGATGGAGGAAGGGAGGTGAGGGAGCAGCTGGAGGCCCACAGTGCAGCCTGCCCCCGTTAACCCTTCCTGTCACCGTTCATTTCCAACTTCAGTGCGGCCCAGGCCAGGAGCCTTGCCAGGGCTGCAGCTTGGGAGACCCCAGTCCAGCCCACGCTCCTTCCTGGGAAAACCTGAGGCCTGCATTTGGGATGGGGGACCTGCCTCCCTGCCAGGGGGTGGGGTCTGGTTGGCCCAGACCCGCGATGGGGTCCGCCTGTCCCCAGCCCCAGTCGCCTGGCCCAGGTTCAGGCCCTCCGCCCTTCTTGGCGGCCAGCCTCCTTCAGGCCGTCTGTTCCAGGTCAGGAGCATAGAGCCCCCCCCAAACCCCCTCCTTTCCTCATCCCCCTTCAAGCCCTGCACAAAAGCAGCCCCACGCCCCCCCACAGCCCACAGCCCACAAGCCGCTCTCCCCGCGGGACCTTGCCTGTCCCTTTCATGTCCCCGCTGCGGGGGACCTCCCCTTCCACTGCACAGACAGCTGCTTGTCAGCCGGCCCCTCAAGCATGGCTGTGGTCCGGCCTGCCGGCCCCCCCTCCGAGGGGGGCGAGGGGGCACTTCAAGGGGGAAAGGACAGCTTTGCCACCTTCCCTGAATCCTGAATGGGGCCTCAGCCAGGCCATAACCGCCAGGCCAGCCACACCATTGTGCTGATTCCCCTTCCCGAGCAGGTTGGGCCCACCCCCAGGCCCCTCCCGGCCAGGCTGGGGGGCTTTCTTCTTGCTCTCCCTGGATGTGTGAAGCTAAAGGCCTGGAACGGGGGCTTGAGCAAAAGGGGGAAGGAAAAGGGGGGTGTCTCCCTCTCTCTCTCTCTCCCACCCCCCCACTGCTTCAAAGGCAGTCCCTTTCCCTCTCCCAGAGAAAAGGCGTTCACCTTCAAAAAAAGTCCCCACTGGATATGAAGAGAAGCGGCCTCCGGCCTGGGAAAGCCAAGCACTCTCCCCAGCGCGGTTCTGGACCAGTGCATTTTAATAGCTGCACTTTTATGGAGGATCACAAAAAGGGACCGAGCCCAGTGCTGGGGCTGTGCTGGGCCCGGAGGGAGGTGGGCATGGGGGGCCGGCCTCGGCGGGGGGGGGGAGTGTGGAGAAGCAAACCCCGAGTCTTGTCTCAAGCAGCCTCTTTGGGCTTGACCTCACTGCCTGTAGGTAAGGAGTCCCCAACCCTGGCTGGCCCCCAGGACGGCCCCCCACAGGACATCTGTGTTGGTGGGAGGGGGGTCATGAGAGGGACACACAGGTGGTTTTACATGGAAACCTGTCCCTTCAGGTACAAGCCTCACCTGAGCCATCACCTCCACCCTCTTCCGGCCACACTGGCCTCCATCCCTCGTGTCCGTGCTGCCCGCGCACTTAGCCTTGGAGTGACCCAGTGTGGAGGGAGGGTCCGGGGAGGGAGGACAGGTAAAAACCTGTCAGTCCCCAAGCCTGCAACAGCCCCTTCTCCTACCCCCTCCAAAGGCTGAGCCCCTCGAACACCAGAGAGGCCAGAACCTGCCTCTGTGTGGCGAAGGAGACTGCCCCCTGCCCGGGGGGGGGGGGAGATGGTGGGACAGGACACCTACCTGAGTTTGACAGCAGAGAACGAGTAGCTGCAGACACCTGTGTGGGGACGCGAGGCAGAGCCAGGTGTGGCTGTCAGCGGCGCCGCCCCCCGCCCCCCACCTCCCCTGCCAGTCTGGGGGGGGGTCCCGCTAAGACTAGGGCTGCCCGACGTGGCAGCGGGGGAGGCCGCGCACTTACAGAGCAAAGCTGGGCAGCAGGCGAGTGGCTCCCATCGCCGGAGAGGTTTCTTGGGGCAGCGGCCCCCCTGCCCCCAAACTCAGGAGAAGATGTGGGCAGTCCCTGGGGGTAGAGTCCCAGAGAAGCCAAGGTCTCTTCAAGCCACAGGTTTTCAGGGGGGAGAGAGAGGAGGAGAGGGAGGGGCGGAGGAGGAGAGAGAAGAGCTGGGAGGAGGAGATGGAGGAGGGGGAGGAGGGCGTGATGGGGAGACTGAGGTGTGAGGTGTCCACCTTCCCAGCCAGAGAGACTGCAGAGCCGCCTCTGGCGGGGCTGCCAACGTCTCCTGGGCTCCAGGCACAGAGGACAGCGCTGCTGGGGCCTGCTTGAGGGACGCTGGCCCCTTGGTCCCCAGTTGTCTCGACCCTCACGGACCCGACGGCAGTGCCCCTCCTCTCCTTGAGGCTGGCCTCAGGTTTGGTGCCTGGCTCACTCCCCGAGGGTGAGCGGCAAGTGTCTATCTGGGGTCGCCGGGTCTGGCTGGGGACGGAAATTCCCAGAAGCAGCCTTAAAAGGAGGAGCCTCCCTGCAGGGGGCAGGAGGTGGGCTTGGCCGACGGTGCTTCCACTGCTCTGTGCCCCCAGAGTCCCCGGTCTGCACTCTGGCCACAGGGGAGGAGGGGTTAAGACGGTCCCGACTGGCAGCAAATAGCGGGTGCCACAGCTCGGGGGCCCGGGGTGAGGGGGAAGGGGTGGCTGGGGCTGTGGAGGACCCCCATGGAGTCCTGAAAACTGCTTGAGGTGGGGCCTTGGCAGCTTCCTCCGAGAGACAGGCAGGAGTGCCCAGGATGCCGGAGGACCCAGAGGCAGCTCGCTGTCCTCAGTGGGTAGGTGGCCAGAGGGCCATGTTCTGGGCCTCACTCACCACCCTGGAGCCTCTGAGGACCCCTCCCCATGTCCCCAGGTCCCCTCACAGCTGTCTGGGAGGAAGAGCCCACCAGCCTGTTCACCGAGCTCTGGTCCCACGGGGCTCTGTCCCAGGCCAGTGGCGACCCGTGCCTGCCGCAGGCCAGGGAATCCGGGCTCGCCAGCGGGCAGTGAGCTCAACCCGGCCCAGGTAGCAAATGAGTGCAGCAGGGTCAGGTCCGCAAAGTCCCAGCTCTTCCTGTTCCTCGAGGGTTGTGTCTGGGGTCTTTCTGCTGTGTGCACACCCTCAGGGTCCAGCACCGCCTGTAGCCACAGCCCAGGTCTCCATCCCTCCAGAAGGCGGGGTGGTGGTGACCTCTGGAGGGGGCTGGTCCCCGGAGACCTCTAAGGGAAACCCCGCCTTCACTTGGAAAGCTCACCCCTCGCTCAGTCTTGGGATGGGGTTGGGGGGAAGGGGAGCGTGTCTCCGTGCCCCTGGGAGGGGAAGGGGAAATGCTGACTGTGGATTGATTTACCTGCAGAGATGAGGGGGAGGGCACAGCTCTCACCCCAGGCCTGCTTCTCACCTTCCTGAGCTGGATCAATCCACAAAGTTGTCTGCCATCCCCCCGCCCCAGACACCTCTGCCCCTCTGCTGCAGCTGCCCTGTGCACCTGGTCCCCCGCCCCTGGGCTCCCCAGCCATTCACGGGGGGCAGGGGTGGGGCTGGGAGCCCGAGCTGGCCCCCATCCCTGCATAGCTGGGGTGTCCAGGGTTGGGATCAAATGGGAAGAACGTCAGCTCTAGGAAGGGTCTCAGCTCTCAGGGATGAGGGTGTCACCGCTACTTGGTGGCAGGACCGGGACAAGGTATGGATGCCTGGACTCCAGGCCAGGGCTGACCCCTCTGAGAACACACCCTGCCCACCCGCTGGCCATGCTACTTTGACCAGGCTGCCCCTGCTGCCGGCGTTGCGCTCCCCCCCTCCCCTCACCTCACCAGGGACCCACCGAGACTCTGCTTCCTCCGTAACACCCCCCACACCTCCCTGCTGTGCTTGGTGCTGGCTCTGCTCTGTGACCTGGAGCCCACACCCTGCCAGCCTCCAGCCTCCAGCTCCCAGGTAGGGCAGTGAAGGCTCCCTCCTCCTGACCTTCAGCTTTCGGTCACAGGTGAGAGCAGAGGTGCAGGGAGGAGATAGCCCAGGCTTGGGCCTCAGGTGGGGATGTGGAGGGTGGGGACAGATGTGTCCTAAGGTGAGGCAAGGGTGGGACATTCTGCCTGGGCCCAAGGCCTCTGAGCCTGACTTCTGTAGATGGAGGAAGGGTCTGCATCATTGGCCAGCCCCTAGCCCAAGCTGGGTCCCCATGGTAACAGATGCCAGTGGTCAAGCCCAGCCTTGGGGTGCAGCCAGGAGACTGGTGCCAGGGGGCTCTGGGGCATGGCTTGTCTCGCGGTGTGACATCGTCTGCTCTTTGTCCCTTCCCATTCTGCACCTGCAGGCTTGGCCTCAGACGGGGCTTGCTCCTTTACCCCTGGACAGGCCAGCGGTGGTCCCACGGGGGGAGGCAATCTGAAGGGGGGAGGCAATCTGGCCTGGCCTCTGGCTCTGTGCCCTGGGCCTGGCCGGGACCAGCTGTGTGACCTGTGCAAGTCCCCTCACTCCTCTAGCCTCAGCTTCCCAATGCAGAAAAAGGAAGTGACCGCTGTTGGAAATGTCAGAGCTGCCACCGTGTCACTGAGATGAAGGACACTCCCTGAGAAGTGACAGATACCCCACAAAAATGGGCGGAGGGGACAGAGACCCTCTTCTGGTGGGGGGGGCCTCAGCTCACCTAAACTTTGACTGACTTTCCCAGGAGGTGATAGGGAAGTGAGAAGTAGCCCTGGCTGCGTGGGGGCTAATCCCCACCCCCTAGTGACAAGTCCATGCCCACCAACTGGGCCGTCTCACGCCTGCTCCCCCTGAAAGCCCGGCTGGTGCGGACACAGACTCACGGAGCCCACCTGTGGACCCACCACTTGCCACCACCTGCTTTGATGCCAGCCCACCTTTTTCCAGGAGAGCCAGGGCTGAGGGGGGGCGGGGCCTCTCCGGACGCAGGTTGAGCCCCATTTTTGTTTGCCTCGCTGGCTGCCAGCACAGGGAAATCAAACTAGAGGCCAACGCTACAGAGGGCGGGCGCTTGCTGGGTCAGGCTGAGCGTGGCGTTGCTGTGACCCAGCCCTGGGGCTGCCCCTCCTGGGGCCCCAGCGAGGCTGGGAGTCCAGACCGAGTTCTAACACCTGCTGTCAGTGTACGAGACTTGAGCGCCCACTGGTGCTCGCTTGTTCCTCACTTTCCTCACAGTGGTTAAGAACAAGAGCTCTGGGGCCCCACTACCTGGGAGTGAATCCTGGCTTCTCCACTAGCTGTGTGACCTTGGGGGCAAGTGATCTACCCTCTCTATGCCCCCCTGTCCACATCTGAGAGCTAGGGCTGGTAACACTCCCCACCCCGGCAAGGTTGGGGGGGGTTAACAGGACAAGTCTGTGCTCAGGCGCAGAGCGGTGCCCAGGTGAGGCATCTCCACAGTGGTCACACCAGCCTTCCTCCCTCTGAACCTTTAAGCTTGCTCTGCTCAAGCTCTTTGCACCCTCTGTTCCTGCTCCTGGAAAGGTCCCACCAGCTCCTCTAGGCCGCTTCCCTTGAGAAACCTTCCCAGATCTTACTAAACAGCACTTCACACCCTGGAAATCAGCCCGTTTCACTTCCGCCAAAGCCCTGGAAAGTTACTGGAATTATGTTGGCTCCTGTGTTTCCACCAGGCTGGAGGTGACTGGAAGGTGAGGAGTTGTCTTGTCCACCTGTAATCACTGTGGCAGGAAGCCGTGGTGAATGCCAGCTGCCTCCCCGGAGCCGGACCCCAGCTGGTGTGCCTGTGCCCTCCGATTAGCCCGAGGTCAGTGGCCTGTCCTCCCGTGGTAGAAGGTGGGCAGGGCTCGCTGCACCCCATGGGGGGTGGAAAGCAGGCAGCAGGGATGCCCACCCTGGGGGAGGGCGTAGCTGGGTGAAAGACCCGAGCCTGCTGCTAACCTGCAGTGTCCAAGGCTCTCCCTCTGGGACCCAGACCTGGGGTCCTGGGAGAGAGGGCCAGGCCAGCTCCCCATCAGCTCCCTTCAGGCCTGGCTGGGAGGGGGCCAGCCACGTGCCGCTGTGGAGGAACCAGCTCCGAAGGGGCCCCGCAGGCCTGGGAAAGGGCGGGGGCCTCCCCCCTTTCCCACCCTCTGTTGGCCTCATCCCAACAATTCCCTGAGCCCCGGCTGGTGGCTCCGAGAGGTGCCCGGGGGGAACCCTAGCATAGGAGTTGAAAGTGTTCACCAGTCTTCCTGGCTGGAGTGGCTCAGTTGGTTGGAGTGTGACCCAAGACCAAAAGGGCAAGGGTCCGGGCACACACCAGGTTGCAAGTTCCATCCTTGGTCAGGGCATGCACTAATCGATGTTTCTCTCCCACATCTTCTCTCTCTCCCTCCCTCTCCCTCTCTAGAAACAATGAAAAAATGCCCTCGGGTGAGGCTGAACCAGAAGCAGAATTAGCCTGTGCCCCGGGCCCAACGGATGGGCTGAGGCTCTTCAGTTCTACACTCAAAAAACAGGGCCTTGTGGGGACAGAGTGTAGATGCAGGAAGACCCACAGCAGTTCTACCTCCCTCCCTCACTTGGGCGGAAGGTAGAAGCCGGGTGAGGGGCTGGGACACTTGGTTCTTCCTCCAAATACTGGCTGTGAAGGTGCCAGGAGGAGATGATAGGTCCAGCAGGAAGGGCCTGGCCTGCGGCCGCCCTCTGCTGGTCACAAGGGCTCACTGCAGCCGACAACCTGTACAGCCAGGGGAACAGATGAAGAAACAAGGTCCTGGCAAAGCAAACTTTATTGTGTCCCTGAGGTTGGGGTTCTTCCCTCCAGGTGCTGCTCAATCCGGAGAGTTGCGATAGGGGGCTCTTGTGTTGCCCCACCACAAGTACCTCCATCACCTCAGCCTCAGGTGGAGGGCCCCAGGGAGGAGGTGTGGGTCCACAGTGTACCCTGTGAAAGCCCACTCTGTGCGGTGGCCTGGCCGGCCTTCCCATGGTCACTGGGGCCAGGCCGCTCCTGGCTCCTCATTTCTTGAATGTCGGCTTTTTAGCTCTGGGTGTGGCTTTGGCCTATGGAGAGAAGGGAGGGCTCCAGGTCCCTGGTCCATCCCAGAGGCCACCCCCCACCCCAGGGACAGCCCCTCCTGTGGACCCACCTTACTTGCGAGGCTCTTGTCTTTCAGACTGGATCTGGAATGGGGGGGTGGGGGGGAGGGACGAGGTGTGGAGAGAGGGTGAGAGAGAGGGAGCGCTCAGCCTGGGACCACAGCCTGGCTGCCCAGTGCGCCCACTGGGAAGCAGGGCCCCGGACATTGTGTGACACAAGATGGCTTTTCTCGGGCTTCCACTCTCTTGCATTTGTCACCCGTGTTTCCTTTCATTAGACAAGTGACGTCATTCACATTGCACAAAACAGAGCAATTAGAGAACACGACAAATTTTTTTTGTCGTTTCCCTCCCAATAGTATTAACCTTTCAGTGTATTTCCTCTCAGTACCTTTGTTTCTTTTCTTCTAACAGCATGTAAAATAAAATGACAAAGATTTAATATCCAGTTATTTTTCATCCCACGAACCTTTCCAGGTTGCCATCTTCATGCATCTATGTGACAACCACAGAGAAAATGTGACCTGGTTTAATCTCCTGTTACACTGGTAGACATTTAGAATGCCTCCATTTGCACAATGCAGTGGCGGGTCTCTCAGTGCATATAATTCTCCCACAGTTTGGATGGACCCCTTGGAAAGGAGTTGCCACAAGCAGAGTTAGCTCAGGAGATAGGAAAAGTTTAATGCTTTTCAAAAAGGCTGTGCAGCCTACCATGGCAGCCCACCGAGTGCCCTGTGTGCACACACGTGTGCACACACGTGCATGTGCCAGGCACACCGTGCTCTCTGCAGCACTGCACACCTTCACCCAAAGAGTTTGGTCAGGTTAAGAGATGGGAAGAGTTACCTCATCACTTCCTCTTCTTTCTCCACCTTCTTTTTCTGGGAACCAAACACAAGCATCCCTAGGGCGGTTAGGGCGAGGGCCTGAGCAGCCCTGCTGTGCCCGGGCAGGGTTCCCGCCTCCTGCTCCCACGGCTCCGCTGGGGGGGGGGGCTGGCTGCCGGGGAGCCTCGGCAGGGCCCCGCCCTCACCTTGGTAACGCTGGTCTGCTTCTGGGGCATCAGTCTCTTGCCTGGTCTGACAGGGGTTTCCTCTAGGGACAGATCCGCATCCTCATCCTCATCCTCGTCTTCCTCCTCATCTTCTTCCTCCTCTGGCTGCTCCTCTTCTTCCTCCTCCTCTTCCTCCTCCTCCAAGGTGTCATCTGCAATGCATGGCAAAGGGGCAGGGCCTCTGAGCACAGGGTCTCAGCCCGGAGGTGAAAGGGTCCGCCTGTCCACCTGGTGAGCCCCTCCTGGCCTCCCAGACAAAGCGGAGGTGGGGTGTGGTGAGAGAATGGGGCAGCCCCAGTGGGTGGAGGGTGGTCGGAGGAGGCGGAAGGGTGAGCTGGGGTCTGCTGGAGTTTGGGGCAGGAGGCACCCTGACGGGAGAGGCACAGCTGGATGGAGAAGAGGGCCCGTTGAGAGGACAGTGAAATAGGCAACAGCACAGTGACTTGCCAGGGTCCCTGTGACCACCACAGCGGCGTCCTCCCCTTGAAACTAACACTGTCAGTGTGTGCTAGTGCTGGGCGCTGTGCTCGCTGCTCTTCCTGAACATCTCTTTTGTTCCTCACAACTGCTCTTTGATCTGAAGCCAAGTACACCCCTACCCTCAGGTCACAGGGGCCGGCTGGGCAGGGCAGTGAGGGGGACCTGGCTGGAGGGCCAGTGTCTGCAACCCAGTCCGAGCTACTGGCAACACTGTTGCCTTTGGGGGTTTTCTCTAATCCTTCAAGAATCCCTCAAGGGTCCGAGTATTTATTCGGCCCGTGGCGCACGCTAGGCACTGCGCTCTCAGACCTTGTGCCATCCGAGAAACGACTCACCGTGGCATTCCTGGCCGCTGAGGAACACGGGCCCAGAGCCAGCCCGCAGCTGAAAGGTGACCGGAGGAGAAAGCTCCAGGCCCATCATGACCTGCAGGGCAAGGGTGTGGGGGCAAGAGCGGAGAAGACCCGTGGCTAGGGCTGCCGCCCGGCTCGGGCCGGCCTCTAGCAGAAGCCCTTCCGTTTGCTCCCCACACCCCAACTGGACCGCAATGGGCTCCGGGGAATGAGGGGCGCTCCGGGGAATGAGGGGCGCTCTCTGCACCCCGGCCTTTCTGCCTGCCAAGGGGGATCAGTCGGAGGAGATGCGAGTCCAATCGTCTGGTTCTTGCGCAGATCGCAGACAGGCTTCCCTGAGGGCGGCTGTTACGCAGAGAAATCTTACTGCCCATGACTAACCCGCGTCTCGAGACCATCAGATTGAAGCCCAGTCTCTGGTGGGCCTGGGGAGAGGATTCTGGGCAGGGATTAGGGTTAGATGCGGTCTGGAGAGTCACCACGGCATTTATGTCCTTTGAGAGCAGACCAGAGAGCCCACCCCACCGTGAAGACACAGAGAAGGCGTGGCTTGCAAGCCGGGTAGAGGTCCCCGGCTAAGCCCTGCCCAAGGGACCCAAGGAAAAGGCAGAAGTAAACCTGTATGTACAGAGTGACTTTTGTCTTATGAATAATGTGCGGATATACTTATAAATAAAGGTTGGAAATATATTAAGGTGCTAACCATAATTTTCTTTCAATGGCTAGTTCAGTATGTATTTTCTTTATATTTTTCCAGACATTCCAAAGTTCCTAGAGTAACGATGATAAGCTTATTTACTGAGTTCCTACCACATGCCAGGCCCTCACACCGAGCGGTTTACCTGCTTTACCTCCTTCAACTCCTCACCCGTGAGGGAGGTGCTCCCACTTTACAGGGGAGGGCACTTGGCTCCGAGAGGTTCACTTCGAGTTTCTGGTTCAGTTGGGGAGTGAGTAAGCGAAAACAAAGTTGCAGCCACAGACACCTGGGGAGGCTGGATAAAATGTAATGCAATGGCCCTGGCTGCTGTGGCTCAGTGGACTGAGTGCTGCTGGCCTGCGAGCAAAGTGGTTCCGGGTTGATTCCCAGGTGGGGCACATGCCCAGGTTGTGGGCCAGGTCCCCAGTAGGGGGCACTCCAGAGACAACCACACACTGATGTTTCTCTCCCTTTCTTTCTCCCTCCCTTCCCCTAGCTCTAAAAATAAATAAATAAAATCCTTTAAAAAAAGGTAATGCAACGTTTTCTCTGCGTGGCTGAGCAGGAAGAAAGGAGGGTCCCATGCATCCAGGAAGCCTGTGCAAGTGCCGTTGCTATAGCTGCTGAAGGGAAATGCACTTGAAACTAATGTGCCCAGGAGACAGACCTTGGTTCAGGACAGCAGAGTTGTCCAGAGCCCACTGCACAGAGGCCGGGACCCTCCAAGGGCTGTGCCTCAGTAAGAGGCCCCAGGGTGAAGCGTGAGGAGAGGGGGCTAAAGAACCCCAAACCAACAACTGGAAATTACACACCGCTAGAAAGGGGGAAGGGACTGAGAAGTACAGATTGGTGGTGACAGCACCGTCGCAGGGATGTGGAGCAGGGCACAGGGAAGACAGTCAGCGCTGTCAGAACTGCGCGTGGGGCCTGCTGGGCACTTTGTAAAGTACACGCTTGTCTAACCCCTATGCTGGACACCAAAAATGAACACAAAATAGTACTGAATGTCAACTGCAATTGAAAAATAAAAATTTTAAAAAGGCGGTGGCTTGGACCATTTTGGAGAGTTACTCAGTTTTCCTGGGTCTCTCCCAGATGTACAGGAAGGAGGTACACATGTTATTAAACTTCTGTTTTCAATGAAGATAAAAAAGAATGAAAGAAAAAGACACTGCACAGCAAGGCGACAAGAAAATGGGAGAAAGCAGAAGCCCCCTGTGCCCTGTCACGTGTATGGAGCCTGCAAGTGCCCGGTGGACACTGCTGGTCCGAGAAATCCGGATAAAATCCAGGCTTGTGATGTCCCTGGGGCAAATGGCAGACGCAAGCCCCAAACCACTCTCCATTCTTTTCACACAGATTCTTTTAGAGGAAACAAAACCCTGAAGACAATCTAAATTGTCATCTAAAATTACTCGCCATCTAAAATTACTCGACATACAAGAAGGAAGCCTGAGGTCAGCAGAAGGCAACAAATGACTGCTTAAGGCAAAATCTGAAGCAGGTTCGTTGCTCTACTTGCTCAGTCATTTGGAATGCAATGGCCACACAGCACACATGCTCACTCATGGCGTCTGCCCCCTCTGACTGGTACAGTGAAGGCATCATGGTTCACACATGCGCACTCCAGCCTCCTCTTCTTGGCTACCAGGTTACAATGTCATGCAAACGGTTCTCCTTATATTAACAATGTCTGGACTTTTTCTGGACAGACCTCGTATAAGTTTTGAAATATACTGAATGATTAAAAAGCAGAGTAAGCCCGTCGAAGCAAGAATCTGTCAACTGGAACACTATTGTGAAGAAATTACCCAGAGTGCACCACAGGGAGGTAGAGTAACAAGACGTGAAGGAGAAGCTGAGCCGTGGAGGCCAGGACAAGAAGACCCAAACCCAACACGCATCTCATCAGAGCAGGGCACTGCAGAGGATGAGGTCAGTATGCAAAGTGAAAACCACCCAGGTTTTCCAGAAACGAGCCAAGCTACAGATTCTCATATCTAGGACACGGAAACCCCAAACAGATAAAACACGATACTAATTCTGTACTCGAACATGCCAAGGTGAAATGGTAGATCATAAAAACAAAGACATTATCTTAAGATAAACCAAAGGAAAGACATGTCTTAAAAAAAAAAAGGCACAAGAACCAGACTGAAGATTTTAACATCTAAAAGCCAGAAGAACAGAATAACATCTCCAAAGTTTTGAGGGAAACTACCTCTCCACCGAGAATTATACAGAAGCAATCTATCATGAAGAAATGAGGGGAAAGTAGAGATATTTCCAGGCAAAGCCCAAGTAAGTTCACTATTCCCAGGCTTATTAGAGGGCGTTTCAAGAGGATGACAAAGTGAGAAGGAAGAAGCAGATGCAAGAAGCAGTGGTGAGCGGGCAAGTCAGTAGCAAAGAGAAACTGTAAGCCTTGCTGTAAAGTGAGAGAGCACTGGTGATGACTGGTGTCAAGCGGGTTTCAAATAACTCGAAGCTAAAACACTGCAGGAGAACAACGTGCGAATGAAGACGAGGTGATTAGAAAAGCTCCCTGGGTAATTTGGGAGGAACACAAACATTCATTTTAGACTTTAATCATGCATGACTGTTAAAAAATTAAGTACCACCAATAAAAATTAGAACAAGGTACTATAGCTTCCAAACCAGTAGGAAAAAAAGGGGGTGGAGAGGAAGTGTAGTCCATCTAACAAAGACAGAAAAAGGAGAAATAATAAAAAATAAAATATAAAAGAGTGGGGAAAGTAGGAATACAAAGGGCATGTTACAAATAAAACCAAGCATATTAGCAAAGAAAATAAATACAAAAGGACTATGCAGAACAGACAGATTAAAGTCAAATCTAACTACGTGCTGCTTGGAAGATACACGTCTAAACCATAAGGTCAGGAACACCGAGGTAAAGAGATGGAGGCATCTGCCCAGATGTGGCGGGGGATGTCCAGTTGCTTAGCCAATATCCATTCTCCCCTTCTTCCATGCTAACAGCGCCCTGATAACATTCCAGTATTGCACCCAAATGACAACTGCATTCCCCAGTCTACTCTGCAGTTAGCTATGACCACATTACTAATGTCTGGACCAACAAGGAGTGAACAGAATTTAGTGGGTAGTACTTGGGTAATGATTCCTGAAAAAGTGGACAGAGAGCAGAGGAAAGCCCCTTTGGTCTTCCTGTGCTTCTTTCCTACTACCACAAATGCAGACATGAGGGCTGGAGCTATAGCAGCCTTCCTGGATTGTAAGGTCATCTTGAGGCTGGAAGCTCTGCACTAAGGTTAGGAAAGAGAGAAGAGGACACTGGCTTTTGGTGACTATGGAGCCATCTCACTAGCCCTAGACTGCCCACCTCTGGCCTCCTATGCAAAACAGAAATAAATCTCAGATTTGCTGAAGCCCCTGAGTTGGGTCCCCAGGGCTACGGCCACACCTACTGAGAATGACAATGACGCAGGCTGTGCTGTGTGGTACGTGGTACAGACCACAGGGAGCTCTGGGTGTCGGGTGGGCAATGTTGGAGAGATCTCTGTACCTTCCTCTCAGTTTTATCACAGTCCTGAAGCTGCTCTAAAATAAAACATAACGTCCTTAACAAATGAGCTATTTGTATTTGTTAGGGCGAGGTTTGGTATCGAATGATGAAAAACTCAGCAACAACAGCTGACACAAGCTAGAAAGAAGCTTATTTCTTTCTCATATGAACTAGGCCCAGATGTGAGCAGCTGCAGACACACTGCTCCTCCATCTCCAGGGGTCCAGGCTCTGTGTGCGGTGGGGCTTCCCATCCTCAGTGTGCGGCTCTGCCTCCTGGCCAGATGGCTGCTCAGATTCCAGCCATCACCTCCACATTCCAGCCGGCAGGAAGGAGAAGGAGACAGGAAACGGTCACACTACAGATGGAAAAGAAACCACTTTTGCTCGCGTTCCATTGTCCGGGGCTTCCTGGCCATGCCTGATGGAAAAGGAATCCAGTGTTTACTCACTGTGGCCTGGCAGCCAGCTAGAAAGCCATGAATTCCACTGCTAAAGAATAAAGGAATAATGGATCTTGACACACAGATGAGAAACAAATTAACGCCATATGATTTAGGCTTTAATTCAATAAGCATTTTAGGAATAAAGATGGCTCCACCTACTGACTGATAAAAACTTAGTTGATAAGGACAATAACTCTGTAAGTCATTTGCACCAACCACACAGGGCAAACCTATGAAGAGCTGTGGCTGCAGTAATCCAGCCAGTGTGGCATTACAGGGACACCCACGGAGCAGCGGAACAGAAGACCTGGAGGCAGACCCACACAGACATGTGCAACCTGTTTTTGACAAAGGCAGAAACTCAGTTACATGGAAGAAGGACAG